CCTGCATCTGCATTTTGTATTTCTGTATGCATTTCTTTCTAGTGTCTCACATTAACTGAAATTTGAATGCTGTCGAAACAATGCAATTACAAATACACAGATATTGTTAGTTATCCACTTGTCACTTTATCTGTCCACATGTCACTGTATCACTTCACAAAAGTATTCACATGTCCAGTTGTATGTGTGACATGTATTTAGTCTTTTTCAGTTAGTGAGATGACTGGCACTGAATGGAGTCAACAAGAGAGGTGTATGGTGGAGTGTAGCCACTTAGGTTCACTCTTATGGAGTCATTTAAATGTTCATCTGTCAGTCTTGTTCTGAGCTTTGATTTTATGACATTCATGTCAGAAAAGGCTGACTCACAGACGTATGTAGACCCAAACAAAGCAGACATTTTCAGACTTATCTTCACATTATCTTCTCCTTTCGTAGATTGCTACCTTCAGGAAAGTCCCGTGAAAAGTTGCTGTGGACCTGGGTGAAATGGCACTCCACGTTACATCTTTTACCAACTGACACGCTTGCACCACAGATCAGACATACACACTTGTCATTTACATTTGTGAAACAAAACTCTGTTTCCCACTCTTCATGAAAATAATAAGTTTTCTGCCTCTTTTTGGTATGGCTACCTGCCGTGGTCATGGTTGCTGCCCATCTCACATCACCACCCCTGACTCATCAAGCTTGACAGCAGCGCAACTGTTTGATTGACAACTAATGGGCAAATAATGATTATTACGTGCCGTAAGTCTGGGGAACGTGCCTTAAGTGTTACGTGCCGTAAGTTCAGGAGGATATGCCTACAGGACGTCCTGCCCACTCGCCCATTGGTTAACCGCTCCCTCGACTCCGCCTTCTGGACCTGGCCCCGCCTCCCTTGCCTTCGGAGAAGTTTCCGGTTCGTCGACAGAAGAGGCTGCAGCTCCGTCACTTCGGCTGTCCGCTGTTCGCTTCTCGCCTGCTAGCTCGCTCTTCGTTCGCTTTGCTTTTGGTTTGATTGCTCGTGTATGACTGTTTTGTTCTTGATTTCCGATTTTCGCCTCGTCCCTTATTGTACCTTCGCCCTGGTTTTGACTGCCTGCTTGGTTTTGAACTTTCGCTTGTACTCCGACTTCGCCTCTTTCATCTCCCCTCTGGATACCTTTGCTTAGGTATGTCACAATCACCAGTTCTGCGCCATAGGGGCTTTGGCAGGCAGCCTCGTTTTCAATTTGGTCGTCATTCCACAGAGCACCAGGGTATCCCAATAGTTTTTGCCTTTTTGTTGTGTTATTTTTGTGTCTATTAGGGTAACCCGTTCTGATAACGTAAAACACACCTT